TCCATTTTGGACAAAAAAGAGTTTGATATCATCGCACGGTAGCGCTCGCCATTCACAGTTACGTTCCGGCAATTTTCGTCTTTGAAGAAGTACGGCCCGATGATGCCACCGGCTCATAATCCACACCAAACAGTGATTTTTTCGGGATGCATTGGTAGCTCTTGCAATGCTTCTGGCTGGTCTTCAGTCCAGATGAGGCAATTTTGCTTGTTAACGTACCCATTCAACCAGAAATGAGCTTCGTCGCTGAACACAATTTTTCGATAAAAATGTGGATCTTCCTCCAACTTTGCCAGCGCCCATTCACCAAAGTGGAAACGTTGTGGGAGGTCGTGTGGCTTCAATTCTTGCACCAGCTGTATCTTATAAGGTTTTACACCCAAATCCTGTCGCAAAATTTTCCACGCAGTGGAGTAACAGAGGCCCAGTTGCTGCGAACGGCGGCGCATCGACATTTCACGGTCATCACTAACACTGGCGGATACAGCCGCAATATTTTCTTCAGTCCTCACTCTACGTCTGCGTGTTGGTGGTTTAATGTCCAATAATGTAAACTGGGTTCGAAATTTAGTCACAAGCTTCCGAATAGCTCCCTCAGTAGGCCGACCAAATTGCCCATAAATTGGAAGCAGTGCTCGATGCACTCTCTTAACCGAGCATGAATTTTGATAGTAAAATTCAATAATTTGCAAGCGTTGTTCGTTCGTAAGTCGATTCATAGTTAAATTATAGACCAAACTGAACAAGTTTAACAATGACACAAGACACGATTCACGCGTCATCTGTCAAAAACAGTGTTGCCAAAAAGATACTAGCAAAAAAATCACCCATTAATAATAGCACTTCTTAAGTTACATAATGTAGGTGCGGATAGCCAACAGTGCATCATCTGGGGACGCGACACCAAGTTTATGTGCAAAAGTGCACACAAAATAATAACGAGGGTAGTACACGAAAGAAGAATATTTCAAAAAATAGGTGGTACAAAACATGGATGTCACTGTGGCATACGCGTTTCTCTCTCTCTCTGTCTCGCTCGTACACATCAAATACAGGACCTCATAGATTCTCCATCTACCCTGTATACTGTTAACCAGAAACGGGTCTAAGTTGTAAATGGTCTGGATCTTGGAGTCGATTCTTGAAAACGAGATAGTAGAATAACTAGTAGGTTCTAATAATAATTTTCGAAGCACGTTCAACGTTTCCGTGATAAAAAAGTTGCTCCCCAGGTCAAGAAAAGGAAAAAACTGCGGGATTCAGCAGTCGTCCATCATTCTCATCACTAAAACCAAAGTTAAAACATTGAATAATACGAAAGAATTAGGGACATTTACTATTAATTTGGCCGAAAATGAATGATTCACAAATATGATTGATAAACGACGAAGCTGACAGATATTGCCTTGAAAAGTAATTCAGACCTTTTGCCTAATCTACTTCATTCTTTTCAATAACCAGTCTTCTGATCTTCGACATTACGTGACAACAAATTCTTTTCGAAGCTGAAAATGATTGGACTTAATTTCTCTGCCTCTCTCCATCCGCAAACATAATTATGATCCGAAGTCACACAACGAACAGCATCGCTAAATGGTGGAATTTCTTTTAACGATATTAAAGTAACGTATATTATATTATAATTATTTACTGAAAAAACACCGATTCTGTGCATTGACCTCGTTAATTTTCTTCATTGTCATGTACCAAAAATGTCATTCATGTAAGTTGTGCAACGTTTTTCTCAAGTTTTTTGAGGAGTTATAATATTGCACCAGAACTCGCTGGTGATAACCTGGTTAAAAATGAGTATGAGTAGTCTTACCTCAGATGGCCATAGACGCTTGACTTTCCTTGCTAGCGACCCGCTCTCCTTCCACTTGTAGGTTTTAAAGCATGTACTCCAAAATTGAATGGCACTATGCGCAAATACACATATTGTGGGTTTTATATGGCGGTTCTATCATTGTTTATTCATAATGTTCATGTGGTTTCATCGAAAGCGAAGAGCCTGGGGTTAAACTCCTCTTCGTTTTCATGCAACACACCGACTGGAATTTAAGAGGCAAATTTCGTTCAGCCGTAAAAGCTCTCTATTGTTGTTGCCTGAACACCAAAATGCTGGCTTAATGTTGTGTGGAATGCAAATTTGCTTTCTGCAACATATTTGCTCTAAAATGAAGTGTTTAAAATATTCTTATAGCATAGTTATACAACACCTTGTAGGACAAATTTTTAACTGTTGCATGAACGTTTATACAACTATTTTATACGGCATATTTGTATCTTAGTCAAAATGGTTGTGTTGTGGCATCCAGGGTAATGTTTATAAAACAAACCCGAGCATTGTTGTTTTGCTGTGCAAATTTACTACTTTAGCCAACAAATTGCTCCCAACGGAGGCACTTATACAACTGTTGTTTAGTAACTGTTAAAGGCTGTACATATGCAACAATACTACAACTTTTGTACTACAAAATTGCTGTGCTAGACATACATTCGTTGCTAAATATGTTGGTATACAACTTCACCATAACCTAACTTTCTGCTGTCATATTTTTATTGAAATGCCATAACCAATGTTTTAAGACAAACAGCGCATGCATATTGGTTAAAAAGGTGTTATCAACTGTTCAAACAGAAGATATAGATCTGGTACAAATTCTGGGCAAATCATTCGGCTCTGTCGGTATTTCATTTCAGACATTTGTCAAATTGTTGTATAACACCTGCAGGCAACACCAAAATATTCTAATAACCTAAAGACAACATAGACGATGCCATAACCACCCGCCATATTAGGCAAACATTTATTTCTCTATTTAATATTAAATAATTCTGTTTCAGTTCGAAATTACAGATATAAAGTGATAAACATTAGTGTAATTGCGTCCAAATATAGGATTTGTGGAAGATATAACGCAGATAAGTTCAGTTTTCCATCTTAAAAATCTAGACATACTTTTGATCATTATTAAAATATGAATCAAATAGGAAGCCCGTAGAAATTGCGTAACTACTTTGCACGATAATCACAATAAAATATGCTGCGCAAGTAATTCAATAGCCCTATATCACAGTGTAGAAGTTTATCATATACCTGTGTATGAAATTCACTATGGCCGATATGTAAGTAAACAAGATGACTGCAATGTGTTAATTATACATTCATCACTTTGTCTATACGTACAATACATAAGAAATAGTTTGGTTGCATTAAAGTAGAATCACTTAACAGAATAGTTGTATAGTTGACAAAAACTGAATCTTGCACCAACGCAAATGTTCTATAGTGGCTGCAAGGGGCTTACAATTTTGTTGTATAACTGTTACCTGCAGCCCTTATACAACCTTAGGTGTGCCCATTTCGCTTGTATAGCTGTTGTAAGAGGCTTTTGCCAATGTTCTTACAGTATACACTGCTGTGTAAGGAATACTGTATAATCATTCTTGCAACTCTAATAGGAGTGATAATTGTTAGTTGGGCAGGGACTTGATAACACTTCAAACATTCTCCGAAGTGTATCTCACATTTTTTTATCTGTTCTTCTTGGTAACTGAAGTCACTTACATTGAAACTTCCACGTTATAAAGCAAATGATTCTTATAAATGTAATTTAAGAAGGTGTTCAAAAGAATAGCTTGCAATGACTGGACTATACTTATGTCTCTTTTGTACTACAAACACTTCACATTACTACCACAGATGTTCTAGGAAAGGACATTCGTGAGCGAGAGATGTAGGATAGTGAAAATAAAGAAAAGTTCCCGTTTTGACCATGTAGTTTGATAAAAGGTAGCGAAAGTCTAATGTTGAGATCTAGTTAAATGTGAAGATAAGGATTTGGAATGTCATTTGGAGCACTTTTAGACATTCTAAGCGAAAAAGAGTGAGACTTCATTATATTGTAAAATGCATTCTATGTGATACGTAGATAACATTCGATATATGTTATATCACGAAAATCTTATATAGATACAGAACTAGGTCACACATACTCTCTCGGCGAGAATCAAGGCAGCGGATTTACCCAACATTTTTCTAACGTTTCTGTGAAGGTACATTTTCCGATATCATCTCAATTCAACCCATATCTTAGGAAGTATGGTGGAATACCTTTTACATGTATGAAGGCTGGTTTATTGTAATAGTAGTTAAGAAATTATGATACGAGGTCTGTAAATTAAGTGATGAGACTGTTTTTTTTATTCACCTTCAAAATAACTTCCTTCTGAAGCCACACAGAGCTGGTGACGGTTCTTGCACTCCTCATAGCACTGCGGGAACTCCGATACTTCAATAGTTTTACAGCCGTTGGAACGTTTTTGACTGTCCCAAGATGCATTCCTTTGAGGAGATTAGTCAACTTCGGAAAGAGAAAACAGTGACAGGGACTCAAGTCAGGCGAATAAGGAGGCTGAGGAGCCACAGTAATGTTTTTACTGGCCAAAAATTCGTTCATTGACATTGCTGTGTAACAAGAAGCATGAATGGTGGTGTGAGTCAAATTCCCCGATCATTCTGTCAACCGAACGCACAACATCCCGGTTTCTGTCGATATTTTCATCGGTTCTTGAAGATGAAAGCCTTCCGCTTCGTGGTTCATCTTCAATCGACTCTCTCCCTTTTGAAAGTGCCTTAAACCTGGGCTTTTCACAAAACTCTATCTCCGCATGTCTGCTGATGCTTAGCAAGAGTTTCCGTTGAACTATGCCCAAGACTGAAGCAAAACTTGTTCGCACACCGTTGTTCAAAATTGATGTCAATCATTTTTAGAACACAATAGGAAAAACTGATTCGCAAAAAAAATCGCTACAATCAAATCACTCGACCGATTTCAAACTTGTACTGAGTGTTGCCAGATCGAACGCTACGTTGTCAGCCTCATCACTCAATTCACAGTTCATGTATATACCGTAAAGCGGATAAAAAACGTTGTATACGGTTGGTTATAGTCGCGAAACGGAAATCAAACAAATCCTATTCAGATAGCAATGATCTTATTTGGAGAATCGTATAATACACTTTATTTTTTTTACGTATACACTAAATGACTCTATATCATATTCACTGTGCCCAATGACTTTGAGGTTCGAGTTAAGATTAAGGATTATGCCGATTCCGGCTACATGTTCGTGCTGTCGAGTTCTGCGCCTCTCTAGTCTCCCAATTGCACCCATCTCCTTCACTAGAGTATACGGGAAGGAACCACCGGTACCATTTGCGTCCAAACACCTGAAACATACATGTACTTGGTACTATCTTAACCCGAGGTTCCTCTCGAGTGGGTGGTTTCGGAGAAAGCAATGCAATATTTGAAGTAATCCAATAGTTATTTTGGTACCAGATACTTTTGTTCAACATTTTATGCAACAACAAATATATGTGAACGTCTCTCCAGTCTGTCAGCGTCATGATTGAACCACGATACGAAGACTCGTAAAAATGTGTCCACTTACTAAATAATATCCCCAAGGAACGTTATATGCATGTTATATATATATATATATATATATATATATATATATATATATATATATAGGCCAAATAATTGTTAATTGGGAAATTGGCAAACTTTTTAGGCTTTAGTTAACTCTATTGACGGTAATCTCTACCTTTCGGCAATTCTCTATGAAGCCTTCATCAGGAGCTGTATTGGTTGCCAGCATCATAATTGTCTTTTCAGCTCCGGATGAAGGCTCCATGGAGAATTACCGAAAGCTAGTGATTACCGTCAAAAGAGTTAAGTAAAGCCTAAAAAGTTTGCCAATTTCCCAATTAACAATATATTGTATTTTTTGCCCAACTGGTTGTTGGCAATGGCAATGACTACTGCTCACGTTATATATATATATATATATACAGGGTGACTTTGAAGTTGAGTCATTAATTTTCAGATAATGATTGTAGAAGGAAGACAAACCAAAATATGTGTGTAAAAATGTTACCTTGTTTTATAAAGTATCCTCCCGACAAGTATTTCAGTGCGGACCTGTATTTGATCGTGCGGTCTTGGAGCACCGGCTTGCCCTCCCCTGTGAGGTCTTAGGTCACCTGATTCACGAGCCCTTTGTACTACATTAACAAAGGCACGAGGGGTTGGTTGCACTCGATTGGGAAACCGATCCGCATAAATCCGTGATGCCGCGGCAGCATTTTGTAAAGACTCCGCCCCCGTAAATAAGAATCATGTCCACAAGTTCAGCATTTTCGTAAACATGTGCCATTTTTTATTTCGTTTGAGCCACGCAACAAACACCACTATTCACTCACGCGTTACCGACTGACACATTGACTGAATACAACTGAATAAAATTGTAGTAAAAACATCGTGATAAGCGTTTCAAATTCTTTCGCTTTTTTGTTTCCGATGCGATGAACCGATAAGGCGGATTATATCCGTTATTGCCAAACACGAGCACATAATATTATTATTGAGACAGGGCGGTACTCAAACTTCTAAAGGGTTATAACTTTGTTACTTTAATTTTACCAGAAAAATGTTAAAGGAAAAAAACATTTCTTTTGATCAGATCTACTCACTGTTAAAATAAATGGCTCAACTTCGAAGTCACCCTGTATATATATAGAGAGAGAGAGAGAAAAGAGAAAATGATCATGCGGAGAAAGGTATATAACAAAAAGTAGGAAAATACTGGGCAAAATCCGCAAAAAGGATGAAAGTGGATTCGAGCAGAAAATAGGATAGGTAACCCGAGCGATACGTATTTCTGCTGGTTGGCTTCATCAGGCCTGGAATGAATGTACATATGCAACTACAAAAGTAGATACACATGTCCACACATCCGGATACGGGTGTAACCTGAGGAAACGAAGATGGAGAGGGAAAAAATCGACACACGAAGTCCACAACAAGAGCCAACCTACACATTGTAGTATAAAATGGCTAGAAGAAATCGAATTTTCTAGGAGACGTCTAACCACAACCACGGGGCCGGTTATAGCCACATGCTGTGGTACTTCAAGCCCAAAGGATCTACAAAGGGGAAATGATCATGCGGAGAAAGGTATATAACAAAAAGTAGGAAAATAATGGGCAAAATCCGCAAAAAGGATGAAAGTGGATTCGAAGTCTTATATATATATATTTGCCTATATTAACTATGAAATCCCAGTACACTCCGAAAACTTGGCACGGATTTTTATAAAAAAGTTTTAGGATAACAAAAGTAATCTGTTGATGATCTCAAATATGACCTCAAAATCTCCCAGGGAGTTGACAACACTATGTATGATAAAAGTGCGCCTTTCTAAAACCTTCTTTCGTATCACTCACTAAATTTTTGTTTAAGAAAAGGATACCACCCTAAACAGTGGAAGTTGATTATATCTACTAGGTTATTACTCGTGATTTCAGAAATTCTAGAAAAAATCATACAGATACAATATAGACTCTACTCTAATGAATGTTGAAATACCGCGTCAGACACCTCAGGTCCAACTTCCGTTACGTCGTTTGGACTGCAGCCCATGAACTTATGTATTTCAAAGTTATTTTCCGGGGTAAAAAGTAGCCTGTGCTATTTCAAACTATAATATGTCTCTAGAACATATTTCATCGAGATTCGTTCAGCCATTTTGGCGTGATTGAATAAATATCCACACTTTCTCATTAATAATATTAGTAGGGATTTAATCTCTATTTAGGTCAATACGACTACATGGCGATTTTGGATCTCACCTGTATGAAATTTTTTCTAGCTCCCAAATTGTAGGTTTTCGATCCTTGCACTAACGACCTTTCCTTTTGTATTCCTTCTAAGGTAGTGCTATTTTTAAATAACAAACTACAGTGGTAGAAGTAAAATATAACAACCATACAATCTGCGGAAAGAAAAAATTAACCCAAACAGTTGCATAAATTTATTGGTACAAAGAGATTTAGTTATTCTTAAAGAATTCATTCAATTTTCTTAAAAAAGGTGCAGGTTAGTGCAGAAGATTTAAAAATAAGCTCCACAAAAATAAATATAATGTGAAATGGAAGTTCTCACCAAAAGATTGGTTACGTGTAAACTGTGCAAGATTAACCCCAATGGTTTTTGAAATAAGGATGTTTAACTATATTCTTAAAGAATGCACACATTTTTCTTAGAAAAGGTTCAGGGTAGCTCAGAAGATTTGGAAGTAAGCTCGTAAAAAAGTGAAATGCAGGTTCTCACAAAAAGATCGATTACATGTAAACAATTGAAAACAAATCCGAGCATTTTTGTAGATTTTTTCATGCTTCCGGTATCAACCCTCGGAAACGCATAAAATGACAGCATGCTGTTTCTCACATTCAAGGTATGAATATGACTATTTACTAAAATCATGCGGTGACAAAGAGGTTAATGAGTTCAACTTTTTGATCTTAGAGTCAGATCTATAAAAATTAAATAGCATAGATTCGCCCGCTGTCAACAATGTGGCATTCAAACTAGGATTATTTTCTAGAGTATATAAGCACTAATGGTGCTTTCATTTGTCCGACCACAGAGCTACACAGCTATTTCGTGCTCACTGCAAATCGTCAGCACGGTCTAGGATAGGATAAGGAACGAAAGCAGAGCAGAGTATTGTTTATCAGAGGTATAATATCTATCCAGATACGATAGTACAAGTGCCACCTATTTCTAGAATCGATCACTATTAGAGTGGATAGCAGCTGTACAGTTTGCATCGACGGCTGAGACACTACTGTGACCGCTTGAGGCCGTCGATTGTGACGATATAATATATGATGGTCTACTCACCACTGGACACTAATTGGCGATTCTGGTAATAGATAGCACCGTGTAACATATTGGCACTTTTTTTTAGACACTCTCAGACAGGAAAGCTCCATAGATTCCTTTTCTCGGCCTTTTCTGCCTTTAATGTAAGATACTTCAAAAGCGGCATTCTCACTAAAAGGCATGCATCCCACCACGGAAACGCATCGCAGCATTTCGTCATGGTGGGTATCGTGGATATCGGCATTTTTGTATCCACCAACCGGACCGCTTAAGTTATAAAGGATTTAAGGAAATGTTGACAACGTCTTACCTAACAGCGCTGCAAGCGAGAACCCTGCGGTTACAGCGACATGATTGGCGTACTTTTGGTCCTGGAAATAGTCAGTGATGAAGGGCCCAGTGGTTGCCATGTAAAAAGAACAATACAGTACTGTGTATAGTACTGTAAGGAGAAATAATTTCTGGTTGTGCAGACCCACACAGTTTGCTATCCACGGACAATGATGATCCATCTTCAAAAGGCAGGTGCCGCACTGCGAACAATGGTGAGCTCGATCCGGCTTGAAGTGGATGCAGATTGCACAGAACCTACAATTACGAGCTGTGTTTTTCAAGACAGGAAATCGCCTATTTTGTTAACTCGTCCACCATAAGAGATCACAAAAATATAGGAAAAGCCCTATTATTACCTGTGGTTCTCAGGTATTCGTCAATATGTGCTTATTCGTTTCCGTTAAAGGTGCATGCCCACTGAGGTGATGGGAAGCGATATGTCGCGCGAAAATGTCAAACAATCGCCGTGGTAGCCAAGCGTTTAGGTAGCTCTGAGCACCATAGCTACGTGCATAATTGCTGTTTTACAAGGAAAACCAAATTTGGCTGACGGCTTAAGTTTAATGAATATGACGGAGAGAAACGCGAGGGGTGTGTATTAACACATATTCGGAAGATACAGAAGCCGGCTGAAAAGCGAACATCATCACTACATTGCCTAGCAACGGTGGCGCAGAAGGTTGTGCAATCTGCTGCGTCGCCAATATCTTACACGAGAGAATGTTCGCGCAGGCTTCTATAATAGGTTAGCTTACTGTTTAATCCAAGAGGTCTCTTCGGACATTGCAGATTAAACTGACGCATCGTTTCAGTCTGCATCTTAATTTAAGGAACTGATGTAATATATTGGCAACGCGGCTGATAGCCGCGTCAGCGCTGCTAGGCAACGCGGTGATGGGCTTCGTTATCCAGGCGGCTTCTATCGCTTTCTAACATATGTGTCTAACACACTTCTCTCTCGTACAAATTGAACTCAAGCCGTCAGACAAATTTGGTTCTCAGTGTATATCCGTTTACACCATGACTATGCGCCATTCATAACTCGTGTCAACTTTCCTTAACCTCTTTGTTTCAGTCGCGCTATTTAGCCTTTGCGACTACCCCAATGCTTATACAGGGTGCGGCAGCATAACTTTTCAGATTAAATTCAGAATATTTTTATTAGCTTTTGATAATTAAAGCTTTGTTTTATAAAAAAGATTCAAAACACATAGATGACGTCCCACATTCTGCATACACTGACGTCCTATATTCTCCATACACTGAGTAAACCATTTTCTGGCGTTTGTCATCGCTCTTGCCAGCATAGCAGGCGCATTTTAAAAAAGGGCGTTATACTGCCATACCCTGTGTAAAAAGTGTGCCGTTCGCATGTCATATAGAAACCCAGCAATTCAATTATGGATTGATTTGCGATAGAGCAACGCATCCAAATTGTATAAATTTGCTAAGAAAATTTGCCGACGAGCGTTACCACTAATGCTACTTTGAAGCCAGATTTTCAGTTCTGTGCTTGACTTTGCCTTAGGAAGTATATAGAGGTCTGATAAAAAGTGTACAGTCTGTTTATTAGAGGTACGAAAATTATTTATTACACCTACGACAGTATAAGAGTACTTTTTAGCACCATAGTGCTAGACTTACATGTTTTGCTATACTGTGAATGTCGAGAAAAAAGACGTATGCAGTAATTGACAAAAGTATATAGACAAATTAATATTGTGCTGTATTTCTTTTTTAACTTGTTTCAGTAATTCACCAACCTGTATACATAATTCGTTATAGCATAATACTCACTTATACATAAATAAATTCATAAGACTCCCTTCAATAAAAAATTAATTGATAAAAACTGGAACTATGAAGGACCAAAATATATAGACAAAGCAAAACAATTATAGAAAAAAGTAGCAAAGTTCATTGAATTATAGAAAACCAACCATGTTTGTGTTAATATTTTGTAGCATAACCATTATTATCAATCACCGCCTCGCATCGTCTCAGCATAGATTGTAGAAGCTTCTTGATATTAAGATTCGTCAATCTGTCTCCACTTTTGCTCTAAAGCGGCAAAAAGTTCATCCTTGTTTAACTAATTTTTATCTCGTATTTGCTTATCTAAGTATTTCCATAGATTTTCAATAGGGTTTATATCGGGAGACTGTGAAGGCCATTTGAGAACTGGTATTTTTTCATCCAGAAAGAATTTCTTTGCGAGATTTGAAGTGTGCTCTTATTGTCTTCCATATAGGGTAACATGACATGCTTTAGTATGTCTGTGTATACAAACTTATCCATAATACCATCTGTTCTATGCAAAGGTCCTATCCCAATCCCCGAAAAGCCCCCTAAACCATAACAGACCCGCCTCCATGTTTGACAGTGGGCAAAGTGTACTTGGAGTTCAATCTTTGTCCACTAGGACGTCTAACGTAATGAACATCATCAGATCCAAACATATTGAACTTGAATTCGTCACTGAAACATACCCTCTTCCAGTCACAGATGCTCCAATCAAGATGCAGCCGTGCAAATTGTAATCGGTCCCTACGGTTTTTCCTCGAGATTAGCGGCTTCTTACTCGGGCGACGTTCAAATAACTTCAAATCATGTAATCTTCTACTTATAGTTTTCGTAGAAACACTGACAATTCCTTTGTCTCGATTTCGGCTTTTATTTGTCTTAGGGTTTTAAGCGGATCTTTGGACGAAATTACTTTTATTGATCTAACTGATCTAGCATTTAGTTTTCTAGGCCGACCACTTCTCTTAGAGGCTTCCAAGATACCTTTTTGTTTATATTTGTCCAATATTGTCCAAACTGCTTTACGCTTCAGCTTAAAATTTTTGTATCACTCAATGATCTTAGTTTTCACATCGAAAAAAATTTCTGGACCACGCGGCATGGTCTTAAAATCACTCAACTTAGCCCACAATACTTGATGAACACAAACTAATCCTCTTCTGACACGAAACTGTACTATACTAATGTTGAAAAGAATTTGTCTACATATTTTTGTCCCTCATAAAAAAATGCTTATATTCAGACTTGTATTGTGTTCATTGCAGATAATCTAAAAACAAGGAATTTAGTTTTTCTACTAATAACGCATTTGTGTATGTAGCAGTGAAGTATGAATTCGTTTTCTAAAGGGATTTAGGTACATATTCATATTTGTCTATATACGTTTGTCTATTACGGGATATCCATGTATACCAGAATTTCCACGCGCGGCACCTATTTTTGTGTGTTCGGAATCGCGTCCCCCATTAGTTGCGGCGCGCGGTCATTCTGCCGCTAGTGCATTGAGGGTATTTTATCTGATGTTCAGTATGTCTATTAAAAAATATACACTATTTTACTGAAATTATTTGTACCTTCCATAAAATAGAGCCAGACGTTTGTATTACATTTCGCGTTTAAAATGATTTGTACCAAGTAGCTCAAAACCTTGACTGCTATTTTCAAAAGATGAACACCACAAAGTATGTTTGAACAGTGTATTTCAAATACTCCTCGCGGCAATTAAAAATCGATAAAACGCTGGTTCGTCCTTCCAAAATTGTTCGTTGTAAAAATAAACAGTTTTTTCTACTAAAAAAGGTAAAACACACCTTTAGTACCTTAACATTCCAAAGTTTGTTCTCTCGTCCAGAACTATGCCCATACGTTCGGCCAAACTGGACAAGAACCCTTTTTGCGCCTGAATATCGGCACATTTCAGATAGGCATCAAAATCTTCCTTTCTAGCTCTGTATTTTTCTGGTACCAACTTTGGAGGAGCACAAACTGTGGCTATGAGCGCCCAGGTTAACTTCAAAAACAATATGCCGAGCATCATTAGATTTGTGAACGTCAATGCAGGGTATTCACTTATGATTGTAATGCAATAGGTGTACACGTATATGACGTGTGCAAATACAAGTAGGGCGAATAGAAAAACGGGAGGAACGTACGAGAGACACTTTGCGGTATTTGACATGTCCGACATTTTTCTGACTTTGATTTTTGGGTCAAACCTTGGAACGGTCGAAGTCAGTAGATGTTGAAAAATCGTAGAACACATTTCCAGAACGAAGGCAGCAATTGCACAGGGTGCTTAAAAAAAGTAGGGTGTACTAAGATTGAGTAAGTGCCAATTTCACCAACATTAATCTTTGACGGTCAGTTGAACCAATAGGAAAAGACCGCATCGAAATGCAATTTGACGGAAGCTGTCAAAGGTCTCTGAATATCAGTGATTTCTATTGAAATATTGAATGAAATCGTGAAAATTCGACTGTATTATAAACAAGACCACTTTCTGATTTTGTACAGAAGAAACAGGACAACTTTCATGTATTTTGATATATGTTATAGGTTTACATTTAACAATCCGTTATCGCCCTCAGCGAATGGGAATGCGGCAAATAATAGGTCGATTTTCTAGCTGTTAAATTTGGCAGCAGATTTGGACGTTTGTTAATGCATGGCACTCTCGAATTTAGCAACTTCAATATATTGAAAGTTATCATTACATACCTGTTGAATAGTGTGGATTTGTCTGTATTTTGCAAGAAAATAGAATATAAAATTCATTCCATCCAATTCCTCATCTTCCTTCACGTCATAATAGTAATCATTTATTAATTTACGGGTTAATGAATTTCTTCAAAGCAATAAAAACATTATGTCCTCTCCATCCTAAAACACAGATAATATGTGTAAGACGTGTCAGTCCCTACATCTCCCTGATGCATAATGCAATTACTATGGACATAGACAAAAAATTATGAAAAATGTTTCACAGATAATGGCTTTTAAGTCCAAAAATCAAAAAAACTAGTAATGTTTATTGTTTGTCTATTTTTCTTTTTTGACTGGCGGGGATATCTATCTGACACTCGCAGGGTTGCCAAGTCTAACGAAGATCACGTCCCGTGGTGGAGGGTGCGAAATGAATCTTTTACATTTGCTGGTTTTCAATTTTTTTCGTGAAAATTTACTAGGTATCATAATTATAAGCATCTTTGGTAGATTGTTCGATACGGAATGGGAAAGATCTCCTATTTATGAAAATATTTTTGATATCATCTAACCGTTGCAATCAGTGAACAAACACTGTGATATATGATTTATAGCATAACCCGCTGCCCTATCAATACAAATTTAACATACAGGTCGCCTAGCCGTGGTAATGCAGTGGTCGGGATGAATATCACGGCAGCAACTGATGATTTGGGCATGTCTGGTAAGAACGTATGAAGTGAAAATCGCTAACTTCACAAATGTGAACATCCCTACTGTCAAGATGTATAACCCAAGGTAGCGACGGAGCTATTTTGCGGCGTCATGGAAATAATTTTAAATTTTTATTTGCATTTTTTCAAGTTTTGTGCAGTGATTTTGTGAAAAATGTCACGAATAGTCTTATAAAGCATAGTAGAGTATATTTCAACAGTTGGCGGAACTTACTCCACTGGGACCAGGAGGATGAAACGGGATATTAATGCACAATCTGGCAACCCTGTCGCAGAGTATATATGTTTTGTGACTGGTACCAAGAGTTGACAGATCCCACACATGTGGCAAATTTGTAGTTTTTTTTGCAGGTTTTATAGGTTTGCTGGTAGCTTTAAGGCATATATTTGGGAATTTCTTAATCGCTGTGAATATAGTGTGGATGTTTGTTCACCTTCTGAACAACGAAAAATATTCAAACTTTATGGATGTACGGATATCAAAAAACCTGAATGGTTTTGTGGGAATATCAACCTAAGGTGCCATAATGGTTCTGATGAACGGCAAGTAAATGAATGAATGTTTGGAAACGAGCAATATCTTTTTGTAGAGCCTGTCATCAAGTAGGTGCTTAACGGCCAACTGCAAGAGGTTTATAGGAAAAAAACACCCAGTATCACATATCAATTGAAGAAAATAATATAAACATGAATAAAAATTCAACAATCGTAATTAAAACATGAATTTAATTCAAAAATCTAACATTTATTAAAATTTTGACTGAATTATATGTAATTTCTTAATATTCAATAAGCTGGTAATGTTTCAATGACAAGTCGTCATCTCATACTTATTTTGTTTTCAACATTTCATAGCTATTGGTTGCTAAAATTTGTTGATTGGAACTTGAAGCTCATTCGCTGTATCTGACGGTCTGTTACCCTATAGGTGGAGAATAAGGGACTGTTGTTGGTGAAATTGGGCCTAAATCCTGTAAACCACCTGTAGGTAGTCACAACCTTGAACTCAAAACTAAAGTAAGACTCAGGTTTTACGAACGGCGTAGTCTTGAATTCTAACCCAAGCATAGCGATAACTATACTCCTCTCTCCTATCCTCGTTTTAGCTTCTGTGAGAACACTTAAAATTATAATTAGTATATCTAGCTACCCTATATCATGAATACCACTGCTTGTATATACAGGGTCCGTCAGAAAGAACGCATCTTTTTTAAATGAGTAGTACAATCAAAATAATTTTGGGAAAAATATTTTATTATATCAAAATACTCCACACCATTTTTTTGAGTTAAACAAAATTTACGTTCTAAAAACTATGTCGGCCATATGGCGCCATTGGGGTTACTTTTCTTCTTATTTCCTCTTTCAAATCGACTAGGGTCCGAGGCTTGCTTTGGTAAAGCTTTGATTTCGGGTAGCCCCATGAAAAAAATCACACGTTGACATGTTCGGTGAGCGAGGGGGCCATGGAATATCGCCATGACGTGGAATGAGTCGTCCTGGGAATTTTTTCCGAAGAAGTTCCATCGAAGTGCGAACTGTGTGAGATGTTGCCCCGTCTTGTTGGAACCGCACTATTCTGAGACGGGAACGTCGACGTCGAAGTTCCGGAAAAAAAGTTGTTCAGCATGTGGATGTAACGCTCTGAATCCACAGTAGTTTTTTCTCCATCATCCTCAAAAAAATTCGGGTCAATAATCATCGTTGGGCCTACTTCACATCAAACTGTAACTTTCGGGGTATGCAGGGGGTGCTCATGCAACTGTTGGGGTTTCACTGGAGACCAATATCGACAATTTTGTTTATTGTGTGTGTGTAAATGAAAATGTGCTTCATCACTCATAAACAACGTCATGTCATTGTTATCCAACTGTTCACTCATGAGCTGTGCAAAATTAACACGTTGTGCATAATCCCCTGGCAACAGTTGTTGACAAACTTGGATTTTGTAAGGATGGAACATGGATTTTGTAAGGATGGAACACTAAATCCTTCTTCAAGGTGCGACGTACAGAGGACGCGATCCCTAGGGAACTGGCACGCAAACGGATGGAACGATTCGGGCTTTGCAGCGTGTCAACTCTCACTCTGTCTACCTGTTGTGTTGAATGCTTCCACCCATCTCAAAATGGTGTTACGGTCTGATACTGTCCCACGACGTGGAACACGAAAGTGAACGCGAAACTCACGTTGCGTTCGAACGACGGTCTCGCCATTTTGAAAGTACCGACGTACAGTGAACACACGATGCTCAACGTTCCAAACCATCTTGCCAACTGAAACGGCACTTCTCCCACTATCCAACACGCCCTTCCCCACCGACACGGGACCAGCCCACTCGATGTAGTACCCATTCGAAAAACATGCGTTCTTTCTGATGGACCCTGTATAAGCTTTGAAGAGACGGGGCTGTGTTTAGAGCAAATTATTTATCTTTCAAACTGCATAAACATACATGAATACAAACTACAAAGTTACAAAACAGATTCTAAACAAGCTGGGATGATGTTAGTATATACATTCCCATTATAGTTTGGTAATAAGCAGCTCCGTACCATTGATCACACCTCTGGCATGCCTTGTTGGTACAGGAGTTGTTGTAATTCGCATGAATATGGTAGCATTGGACTTATGTAATTTGTAGCAGCTATAATAAATATGTTTATACCTTAAAAGGGCATAGGTGTGATTGAATATCGCTGTATCAGATAAACAATATAAAGTTCAATTTTAACAGATCAGTTATAAACCTTATTAGGCATTTCTGGACTAATACAGTACCGAGCAAAGGTAGAGAAAGTAAATTTAATTTATTTTCATCGGATGGCATTTTATGGGTAAGACGTAATAAAAACAAGCGATTCGATCCTAAGTTCACTTTGGGCACAATCAAACACGGAGGTGAGAATGTTCAAGTATAGGGTTACTTCTCTGGTCTTCAAATGGGACCCATCATCAATATTGAAGGAATTATGGACCGGTACAAATACTTGGAAATCTTAACTGATACCAATGCTACCTTACGCCCAAGAAAACATGCCTCTACGCTGGCGGTTCCAGCACTCAACGACCCCAAACACACAACGAAAATAATAAAAACATTTTTTCCAGATCACAATATTAATGTCATTAAGTGGCCAGCTCAGAGTCCAGATCTTAACCCCATAGAGAACATAAGTTCAAAAATAGTGCCAAACTATTTGAAAGAATCGAAGTCGCCTGGAATTCTATTCCAAAAGGTACAGTAGATAGCCTAGTTGTTTCTATGAGAAAAAGATGTCCAGCAGTTATGAAAAATAAAGGTTATCCAACCAAGTATTAGCTTCTTTGTATACGACAATTGCTTTGTATATTATGTTTCTCTATTTTTGCTCGCTGTATTTTTCAATAATAACTGTTAACATAGTTTTATTAAAGCTGAAATTTTATTTTCATATTGGCTTTGAATTACATGTTACATTGAGTTATAATAAATCATAAGCGTTTAATTTACTTTAATAGTTTAATATAATATTTAAAAAAAATAAAATGCTTCTCCACCTTTGCTCGGTACTGTATGTGAAAAGGTTTGGTAACTATAGTTACAAGTCTAGGTTTATTATCATCTGACTGCTTGTGTTTATACCGGGTTTAAATTCGACTTTCACCATTGGAATCTCGGAAACATGGACAAAGGTGTGCATTGGGGTAACTAAGAAAATGCCACTTGGAAAGTATTGGAATTCCGAGTATTTCAAGGGAAATATGGAAATAAC